GATGAAAGTAGGAAAGTGGTTGTAACCAACTTTCATAGGTACTTTTCAGAGAACTAGTATTGAATTGACCCGCATCAAGATCATCTCATGGATCGCTATCATGAATGATACTTTATTAAAAGGTACTATTTTTGTATCCTTAACACTTGAGATACATAATGAGACTTAAGTACGGGGAGTACTATGTTTTGATATGGTCAAATGTTGTTCCTTAACCGGGCAATTATAAAAGTCATTTTCAGGTATAGTGTGAACTATGCAAGAGGCTTATGTAGTCAATATGGGATTTGTTCCTCTTATGTGTTGAGAGTTAGACATCTAAGGCGCCTTACCAAAAGTTAAACAAATAATGAGATTGATTGCGATCCGTATCTCATGTTCAACATGATGTCTGTAGCAAAGGGATAACTGATAAACTTACATTATACACCAATTGTAGCTTTGAGCTTTTTGGTAATTGGGCGTTGATAGAATGTCACAAAGGCGTATGTTGATGGGGGCAGTGAAATGTTGCTAGACGTTCACCACTTTCTATATCAGTCTAATATGAGTCTTGCGCAAGTGGGAGATTGAAAGGTCTAGTATGCTCAAGGGTCATATTAAAGTGATATTGCTAATTAACATATGATACTAATGGGTCACACTAACAACAACTTGATATAATTCATTATTTATTAGAAATTGATTTTAATAAATATTCAATAAAACTCTTATAATTAAATTGGAAATTATTTATTTCATGGAAATAATACTTTTCATTAGCAAGTAACATAATATATCATATGTTATGATTTATTAAGTCATGTACAACATTTTGGACCATAAGGAGTTTTTGTCTTTTACCAAAAGGTTAATGTTTATATTTTATAAAAGAGTTTATAAAAAATTACCAAGTTTCACTTACTTTTTTATATTAAAACCGTGCATGAGCATGCTTGCATGCATGCAAGTGATAGGTTTTTGATTATCTAAAGGGAAAGAAACCATGCTTTAAAGGTATGGGAGACAAGTAGGTTTTAGGAGACATTATTGTCTTAAAGTGTTAAGTACTTATGGTCCATAAAATCACTTTATGCATATAAAAGACGAGGCTTGCACTCATTCTTACTACCTTGATGCAAATGGCCGAAATTTATACTCTTCCTCTCATTCTCTCTTAATTAGTTAAGAACACTTGAAGTTACTTGCATCTTCATACCCTCTTTAAGTTGATATTGGTTATGAACTTAAAGCTTAAGGGTTTAAGAGTTTATGGACTAGCATCTACATCAAGTTGAGTCATTGTTGGTGTCTCAAAGGTTCCACATTCTTCATCAACTTCCAAGCCTCCCAAGAGGATCCAAAGAACAACAAAGGTTGTTATTTCTTCATCCTTTCTATGGTTGGTGTTTTAATCTTTCTATAACTTGCAAGATGATCCTTGGCGGGTATAAAATGTTTATGTTATGTTTGAAATTTTAAGTCTTCCGTTTGCCATATTTTCTCGTTTATGAAACTATTTTTTGAACTAAAATCCAACACTCGCAACTCGGTTTACCATTGTGTTTTGCAGGGTGACCATTGAGTCAAAAGGTTGATTTTTGGAGAAAATCGAGTTTCACGACGTGACCATTGGGTGGTCACGACGTGACAAGGGTAAATATGAGAAACGTGTTCCGGGACCAATCCCACGACGTGAGACATAAGGTCTCACGATGTGACAACTGTTGCAGCCCAAGCCCATTATCTTTTAGGGTTTCCTTCGTATTTAAACCCCTCTAAGTCATTTTTAGGGTTCATTACCAGCCTTTAACACCCTTTTACTTCAGAAAAAAACCTAACCCTAATCACCTTGGTGATACTTGGCCTTTTGGAGCATTTGTTGGCTTGAAGGAGAAGAGAAGAAGGAGAAGAAGTTGCTCTATTGGTGGAACTTACAAGGAAACAACATCATCATTATCTCATATTGTTTTTGTACCTTTGTAAGTGTCAAAGGCCCAAACGTTATTACTTATAGTGGTTAGATCCAAGTTATTGTCCAATGTTTTTCATGTTTAAGCAAGTTTGAACGGAAGGAACACATAAAGTTGTCAACTTTATGCTTTCTAAGGGTCCCTTGAGTATAAAAATGTTCAGATCTAAGAGTTGGTTGAGGATTAGGTTCATGCATATGAGTTTTGGTGCAATCTCTTCATGTTTGACCTAGAATGGATGGAGGACATGCATGAGGCATGCATGTCCATCAACTAATCATTTTTATGGACCTTTGGAGTCCCCTTTAGCTTTTGGTAAAGTTAGAGTGAAAGGCTTAATGGATTAAGGACTTAAATCTTTGGATTTATGCATTAGACTGTAGTCACGAAGTGACCATGAAAAAGCTTGTAAATTGTTGAATATTTGGAGCTCACGATGTGACTGAGTGATGCTCAATTCGTGAGGTCAGCCCAGTGAGATATCTGTGATTGATTTGGATCAAGTCGAGTGAGCTCTCACGACGTGACCAAGGGTTGGTCACGACACGAGGGTCATTGGTTATCATTATGGGTTGTTGACTTTGACTTTGTGTAGTATCCCAAAAATTATAGTAATTTTTTTAATTTTTCAAAACCATTTTCGTAAACCATAAGTTATACAAAACACTTTTTCCAAATCATAACCATAAAATCAGAGTATCAAGATCCCTCAAAAAAACAAATATCAGCAGGAGGGTGTATGATCACGCCTTCACCTTGCCCCAATTATCCGATGTACCTGAAACCATGAAATCAAAATGTAAGCACGAAGCTTAGCGAGTTCCCTAAAAATACCCCACACTTAAAACATATACAATTCATGCGTACATGCGAGCCTACAGTTTTCCTGGACCGCCTCGCAAGGCCTACAGGATGCCTGGACCGCTCTACCGAGCCTACAGTCTACTGGCCCGCCTCGCAAGGCTTACAGTAGCTGGACCACTCTATCGAACCTACAGTCTACTGGCCCGCCTCGCAAGGCCTATAATAGTTGGACCGCTCTCGAGCCTACAGCATAACGCCAAACTGCTCCCGAGTTTGTTGGCCTACAGCACAAAGCAATACCGCCTCAACCCAACGAATCAGTAACATGCCGACATATGCAAACAATGACAAATAACCAGCACGTAAAGGTAATCATACATATCTACCAGTTTAACATATAACCAGCATAACATCATCCTATATACCAGGATACATAACCTAATGGGCCGACATTGGTGTCTTAGACCCACGAGTACAGTGAGGAAAACTTACCTGACTCACAAAGCCGACTAAAAACTCAGCTCAATGTCACGCCGACCACAACTAGCAGCTCTCACGACCAAATGATGGTTGCTAAATACCTCCTAAGAATCCACACAAGGTAAACCCTAAGTCTACCTTATAAAAATAGAAATTTGACCAAAAGTCAACCCAGGTCAAGAAGTCAATGGTCAAAGTCAAAGCCAACAACCCACAATGCCAACTGTCAAGCCTCACATCATGACTAGCCCATGGTTACGTCATGAGAGTCCACTCGATCCGATTCCAACTCGACTCGCCCTAACTTAGCCCACTCCTTCATGGAAAAATCAATTGAGTTAACTTCAGGGAGTATGAAAGACCATGATTTGGCCCTTGACGCATAACAATTGTATGAAAGACCAGAATTTGGCCCCTGGCGCATGTATGAAATACCTGGTCCCTGACACTTATATGTAAGACCAGGATTTGGTCATTGGCATAGCAAGGAAAAACCATGATTTAGCCTATGGCAGGAAGTGCTTGTAAGACTATGATTTGGCACATAACATTCACTTGGGGTTGAAATAGACCTAAGACTTTATGTATGGTATGTGGTATCTTGGGGAACTCACTAAGCTTTGTGTTTACGGTTTTATGTTATTGTTTCAGGTTTTCTTATATTGAATGAAGGGCGCGACTTGATTGTATCACATTCATTGGAGAATTTCTGCACTTAATAACTCTTTTGTTTATACTCTTATAAATGTTTTGAATCAATTGGTTTTAATAGATTTTGGAAATTGTAATTGGTAGAAATTCCTTTATATTTTAAATGAAAGTTTTGATTTGAAATTTGGGACGTTACAGTTATAAGGCGAGGGACTGAAAATGGCATTTTACAAAGTAACTGGCTGAAAATGTCATTTCACCAAGTTGAGGGGTGGGAAGTATCGTTGGAAATATCCATTGAACGTCGGTACCACTTGCTAACTCCAATTTATACAGTCGAATGAAAACGTTTTATATGTAAGCAAACTCATACATACAAAACGTACATAAAACTAGAAACAAAAATGTACACAAAGTTTACGTCGAAACATGAAGAAACTCAAATTATACCACACATACATTAAGATTTTTTTAAGTCAATGATAAAAATAAGTAAGTAAGATTTTTTTTTAGACAAAACTGCACAAATGGTCCCTGTGGTATGTCGAAAAATGTCACTTTGATCCAAAAAGGTTTGGACTAGCACCAGTGGTTCAAAACTTTCATTTTGTTGCGTTTTTGGTCCAATTTGTTCTAATTATTTTCAAATCGACATATCTACCCCTGTTAATATGATTTTTTTTCTTATTTGTTTTTCTGATTTTTTGATTTTAAAAAAAAAACTAAAAATAAATCTCTCTCTCTCTCTCTCTCTAAAACAAGAAAATAAATATAAATCTCTCTCTCTCTCGTTTTCTGTTGACTGAAGGAAGAAAAACCAGCAATGGGCTTCCACCCACTGCCGACGAAAAACACCACCACTGAGGGCGGCTAAAAACCACCGGTAGTGAGGCCACCGGAAAACCACCAGGGACCACCGGAACATCACCGCTGCCACCACCCATTTACCCTCCTGCCATTGCCGATCAATCCACCAGCCACAACCCTTTCCTTCTCCTTCCCTCTCGTCAAACCCGTCGGAACAGGAAAGCAAAAGCAGCAGGGCTGCCATCGCCGCCCTCCGTCGCTGCTGCTGTGGAATCCCATCAGACACCACCATCCTCTTGATACCACATGAAGATCCCACCTCGATGCATGCTCACAACTCAGCTCGTCGGAACCCTAGTTGTAGGGATGATGAATCTCGCGGGGCTTCATCCCGTAATTCCATGGACATCCCCCAAATTCAAAGTTATATTTGATGCTTTTGTGATTTGGGGAGTCATCGGACCTGAACGAATCTTTTGTTCACAACTCAGCCCTACCCCCCTCTATATCTGGTCGGAATCGGCGATGAGCAGCAAGGCGGCGACGGCAATCTACTATGGTGGTCGGGGTCCGTTCCAGTGGCCCCGGTTACTCTGTATCTAGTCGGAATCGGCGGAGAAAGTGAATGGGTGTGGAGAGGGGCCCGATGGTGGCCGAAATCTGTGGTTGCGGGTTGTCTTCCTTGCCGAAAAGTCTCCACCTTCATTGGTGGTTTTCTCAATTCAGAAAAAAACCGAAGGGGAGAGAGAGAGAGAGAGAGAGAGAGAGAGAGAGAGAGAGAGAGATTTTATTTTTATTTTCTTGTTTTAGAGAGAGAGATTTATTTTTATTTTTATTTTTTTGTTTTTTTTTTAAATCAGAAAATCAGAAAAACAAATAAGAAAAAATAGAAAATCATATTAACAGGGGTAGATCCGTCATTTTAAAAATAATCAGAACAGATTGGACCAAAGACGCAACAAAATAAAAGTTTTGGACCACTGGCGCTAGTCCAAACTTTTTTGGACCAAAGTGACATTTTTCGACATACCACATGGACCATTTGTGCAGTTTTGTCTTTTTTTTTTAAGTTAACGAATGGAAGTTCAAATAATAAAAATTATACGTATTATATATGACCCGACTCATATATAATAATAAGTATGAAAACGTAAAAAAAATTAAGTCAAAACGTAAAAAGCAAGTAACGAAAGTTCTAAATTTACGTCGAAATTTTGAACATCTTGAATTTATACCGACACATAAACGAAAATAAACATGTAACTTTTTTTTATATAAATTAACGAAAAAATCAAATTATCTATATACTAGGAATGATAAACAAGAAAGTTTAAAGAATTAAAGGATGAAATTGTTGACAAAAAAAGAAAAAAAAAACGATTAAATTTAACAAGATAATGAAGAAAAAAATAAAATAAAAAAACTAAGGTTGCGTTTAGTTACGGAAAAAACAATTTTCATTTTCCGTTTTTCGTTTTCCCTTTCCAGTTTTCGTTTTTCGTTTTCAGTTTTCATTGGAAATTTAGAAAACGCGTTTAGTTAAAACTTATTCATTTTTCGTTTTCAGTTTTCATTGGAAAATTTAGAAAACGCGTTTAGTTAAAACCTATTCATTTTTCATTTTCAGTTTTAGAAAATGCATTTAGATGTATATATTTCTATCGGTTTTCATTTTTAGAAAATGGTAGCGGTGGTAGGGTGGGGGTGGGGGCAGCGGCGGGGGGCAGTGGTGGTGTTGATGATGGCGACAGTGGTGGTGGCAGCAACAGTGGTGGTGATGACAGATGGTGGTGGTGGCGGCGACAATTATGACAGATGTGGTGATGGTGATGGTGGTGGCGGTGGTGGTGATGGTGGCGGTGATGCTGGTGATGAGGTAGTGGTGGTGGTGATGGTGATGGTAGGTCGGTGATTGTGGTAGTGGTGTTGGGTGGGTGTGTGTGCATGTTTGTGTGTGTGGATGTGTGTGCGTGTGTTTGTGGGGGTGGGTGGGGGTTAGGGTGGGTGTGTATTTGTGTGGGTGTGTGTATGTGTGTGTGTATGTATGTTTGTGAGGGTGTGGGTGTGGGCGGTGGTTGGGGTGGGTGTCTATTTGTGGGTGTGTGTGTATGTATGGGTGGGTGTGGGTGTATGTTTGTGTGTGGGTGTGTTTGTGTGGGTGTGGGTGTGGTGGGGGTTGGGGTAGATGTGTGTTTGTGGGGGGGGGGGGGTGTTTGTGGGTGAGTATGTGTCTATGTGTTTATGAGGGTGGGCTTGGGAGTGTGTGGGTATGGGTAGGTAGGGTGTGGTGGGTTGGCGGTGTTAAGATAAGGGTAGGTAGAGGTGGCAGTAGGTGAGTGTTTATATTTTAAAAAAAAATTGGAATTAGAAAAATATAGAAAACAATGATTATTGGTTTCCAAAAAATTCTAACTTGTTTGTAATTTTAGAAAACGAAAAATTTTCATTTCCGTGAGAAATTTATAAAAATAGACGAACTAAACGCATTTTTAAAATTCTCATTTTTCTTGAAAAAATTTTCCGAAAAATTACCTATTTTTCTGCAACTAAACGCAACCTAAGTTTGTCTAAGAAAAAAAATTAACTGATCTAAACTTAAGAGACTAAAAAAAATAAAGTTTAAAGTGACTATTTTAACAAACCAATGTCACCACCCATGTGGGTGAGGCAGCCACTTTAAGTGGGGTGCATGGCCCCACTTGAAGGTGGGTCCCACCACATTTAGTACCATAAAGCCTTAAAAAAATCTGATTTTTACTAAAAAGCCCCTCTAGCCCCCCACTTTCACATTAAATACCTTTATTGATAATTTTTTTTTAAATAACCCAATTTTTTTAAAAATTTTCACAATTTTATACTATGTATTTTTTTTATCAATAATAGACCCAGTTACATTTCGTTCTGGCCCCATTTTTACATTAAATACCTTTATTGATAAATTTTTTTCTGAAAATAACCCAATTTTTTTAAATTTTCACAATTTTATACTACATATTTTTTTAGTTAGATTTCGTTCAGTACACCCACCGACACAAACACCAACTTTATCTATCACTTTTACCTTTCAGATAAAACGTAGAAATCCACATGTTCTCCCAAAATCCCGACAGCCTATGTTGGTCAAAGGTTCTTTAGGCGGAACAACCCACATGCCTTCACAGTTGTGTTAACTGTTACCAAATGGATCTTGATTTGCAGACGTGTCCCCGTTTGTTACAAACCATCACTTCCCATCTCTTGAACAAACAAGGGAAATCGTTACACCTCTTGTTTCTTAAAAGAGGTGTCTTCCCTTCCTCAATTACTTTGGCTAACCGTCTCCTTCAGATGTACGTTCGGTGTGACTATTTGGATGATGCTCGGAAAGTGTTCGATGAAATGCCACAAAGAAATTGCTTCACCTGGAACTCCATGATCGAAGGCTATGTCAAATCACGAAATAACCAAGAGTCTTTACATTTGTTTTATGCAATGCCCCACAAAAATACTTTCTCTTGGAACATGGTTATTTCGGGGTCTGTTAAGGCAGGTAATTTGAATCTCGCAAGAAAGTTGTTCGATGAAATGCCAGTGAAAAATGAGGTAGCTTTGAATTCAATGATTCATGGGTATGCTAAAAACGGGCAATCTGCTGAAGCAATTAGTCTGTTTAGAGATTTGAAATCAAGTTGTGATGTGGATATATATGTTTTGGCTACAGTTATTGGTGCTTGTACTGATTTATTGGCTCTTAGATTGGGAAAGATAATCCATGGCTTTATAGTTGTTAATGGAGTGGAGATCGATCCAGTTTTAGGAAGTTCAATTGTGAACATGTATGGAAAATGTGGTGATCTTGATACTGCAAGCTTAATGCTGCACAATCTACCATACCCTGATGATTTTTCTCTCTCATCTTTAATCTCTGCTTACTCCAATACCAATAAACTTACCGAAGCCAAAAGAATATTTTCTATGAAGAAAGACAAACCCCCTTGTGTTACTTTATGGAACTCTTTGATTTCAGGATACATTTCCAATAACTTGGCAACAGAAGCACGTGTACTCTTTGGTGAAATGAGGAGAAATGGAACAAAAGAAGACGCCTCCACTATCGCTAGTGTTTTAAGTGCCTCATGTGATATTATGTATGCAACACAAGTTCATGCTCATGTTTGTAAATTTGGAGTAATTCATGATCTTATAGTCGCATCTGTTCTTGTTGACACTTACGCAAAATGTGGAAGGTCTAATAGTGCTTGTAACTTATTTAATGAGATAAATATAAATGCATACGACACAGTGTTGTTGAATTCGATGATTTCTATTTATTGTTCTTGTGGAAGAATCGAAGATGCTAAACGAGTTTTTCATAGTATAAAGTCTAAAACTTTGATATCTTGGAACTCAATGATATCGGGGTTAACTCAAAATGGTTACCCAATTGAAGCACTTAAATATTTTCGGGAATTAAATACAAAAGGTTTTAGAATTGACAAATTTAGCCTTGCGAGTGTGATTAGCACATGTGGGACCATTTCATTTCTTGAACTTGGCCAACAATTATTTTCGCTAGCTATCGTTATTGGACTTGATAATGATAAAATCGTGTCTACTTCACTTGTGGATTTTTATTGCAAATGTGGAGATGTTGATAATGGTAGAAAACTATTCGACGAAATGGTGGAAAAAGAATCATGTGATGAAGCTTCATGGAATTCAATGTTGATGGGTTATGCTACAAATGGTTATGGAATTGAAGCATTGGATTTGTTTAATGATATGAGAAAAGCAACGGGGATTTTGCCTACAGATATTACATTCACTGCAGTCTTATCCGCATGTGATCATTGTGGATTATATGAGGAGGGTTTGAAATGGTTTTATGCAATGAAAAACGAGTATTGTATTGATCCGGGAGTTGAACATTATTCATGCATGATAGATCTTTTAGCACGTGTTGGGCGTCTTGAGGAAGCCATGAATTTGGTAGTGTCAATGCCTGAATTTGAGGATGATGTAAGCATGTGGTCAGCGATATTAAGAGGATGTGTAGCTCATGGAAATAGAATTCTAGGGAAGAAAATTGCAGAGAAAATGATTGAGATGGATCCGAAGAATCCAGATGCATATGTACAGCTTGCAAGCATTTTTGCCGGTTGTGGGGAATGGGTCGGATCCGCACAACTTAGAAACTTAATGACAGCTCAGAGAATACAGAAACTACCCGGTACAAGTTGGGTATAGCTGTTGTTTGTTAGATTGTAAAATAATTCGAAAAATAAAACATAAAGTTGGAAGTGATCTGATTTGGGTAGTTAAACAACCATTTTAGAATAATTTTACTTGTTATAAAATTAATTAGAACATGTATACATAGAAAATTTAGAAGTTAATTAAACTTTAGACTGAAGTTCTTGACACTTTGCCAAATAACAAACCACGGGTTTATAGTTTATTTTATTTAATGCAATAATTTTTATGTTATGTGTTGGGTAAAGCATTGTATGTCAAGTTGTTCTTGATTCGTAGTTTGTTTTATTTGATTGAAAATATGATTACGAAATTGTAAGGATAACATCGTATTATGTTTATATTTTAAAATAAATCAAATTAAAGCCAAACAAAATCAAAATAACTAACGGAAACATATTATTACTGATTTTGATAAAAGAAAATTTTATATTAATTTTTTTTGGTAAATAATTCATATATTAAATAAAGAAGAAAATTTTATATAAACCTAGAGCAACAAGCTGTGCTGCAATATCTCTTTTTGGATGACAAAGTTTGTTTTGCTGGGGAAAATCAGAACCTGCATTTGGGAAAGCTAATGGAGAGAGAACATGAAAATGGTATGATCGAGCTCAATATACAACAAACAATTCTTACAATTTATATTTGCTCTAACCAATGAAGAAAGTAACAAGTACGCTTTTGACTTTTAGCTTTCTCTTTAATGGGTTTTACCAACAAACTAAAGAATGTACGGTTATGGCATCTTGATTTGCCTTTAAAGCTTAGGGGTGGTAACATCCAACCCACCGAAAAAGCGTTGTCACCTCTGCGCTACGTCAGCTTCACCACCAACTCACTAAACATTGGAAATGGTTACCACTTCACAATTTTTTTTTAACATTATATTAAATAAAAACATAATTTATAACATAAATTAATTTTTTGAAAACATAACAAAATAAAACTACATTTCATTAATTCAAAACATATAAATTTAAAACTTAAATTACTAAAATTAAACATTACATTGTCTAAATAAAATAAAAATTAAAAAACATAGAAAAATTCTACTCGTCGTCATTGTCGTCACCGGCATCATCCGCCTCGTCGTCACCGTCCTCATCATCCTCGTCTTCACTGTCATTTTGCCTTTGAATTTGTCTTTCCCATATGTATTCGGTCAAATCATGTCGTAGATTGTGATGTGTTTCACGGTTTGTATTTCCAAAACCCTTGAGAAGTATGTCGGGCTGCCAACTTGTATTACTGCAGGTTGATTAAGTATATCGTTCGTGGTATATGAACAAATAGCCCTACCCTCTTCTTCTATTATCGTGTTATGTAAAATAACACAAGCAGTCAACACCGTCGTCAGTTTTTCCTTGTCCCATGTTCGTGCCGGATGTTTGATTATGTGTCACTTTTGTTTGAGGACTCCAAACGCCCGTTCTACATCCTTCCTTGCAGATTCTTGTGCTAACTTGAACAATTTTTGTTTATCGTCGGCCGTAAATGTGTATGACTTGACAAATGTAGCGTATTCTGGATATATCCCATCACCTAGGTAGCACCCATACTTATATTCATTTCCATTGACAACGTATGACATATCTGGTGCTTTACCCTGTAAAATATCGTTAAATATCGGAGATGCTTGGATCACATTCAGGTCATTGTTTGACCCCGCCATACCAAGGAATGCATGCCAAAACCATAGGTAATGTGAAACAACCGCCTCCAATATAACAGTCGGCACCCCATGATCACCTCGCGTGAACTAACCATGCCACACGTTGGGACAATTTGCCCACTCCCAATGTGTACAATCAATGCTACCAAGCATCCCTGGAAAACTATGTTTAGCTTGATGTGCGGCATACAACTGTTCGACATCGCTTTTAGTCGGATGTCGCAAGTATATGTCACGGTAAAGCTCTATAACATACTCACAAAATAGATATGTACACTCTCGACCCGTCCTTTCATACATTTTCAAATATTCATCTAATACTTCTGCGGCGATGCCGTATGCCAATTGTCTAAGAGCGGTCGTATATTTTTGTATTGTAGTAAAATCGCTTTTACCTCTAGCATCTCATCCTAATTGGAAAAACTCATAATTACGTGCCAAATCTTTAGCTATACGTAAAAATAAATTTCTATTAATACGAAAACGTTCTTCGAATTTCGATAGATCATATAAACTATCAACGGCAAAATAATCACGTACCAAAAGTTTATGTGCCGCCTCTCGATCCCGGTTGATCCATTTTCTATGCTTCTTCTCGATGTTTGAACGTTCGCCCCTCTCACTGTAACACCCGGTTTTGAAAGTACTCGGTTGTGGCTTCGGAGGACAAGGGTCTAGGCGTAATGTGACGATTTTGGTATTTTATGCGTCTCGGGTCTTATTTCGAAGGTTTTAGGCTTGGAGGTGTAGCTGGGAGCGTAAGGCTTCCCTCCACCTTTTCGTGGATACAAAAGTTCATCGGAAACGGACTTAGAATGAAGAAGTTATATCACTTTAATGTTATTGACATTATTGGTCCCTAATGGAGAAAGATGGCAAGAAGGTACCATGCATGCAAGGTGATAGGCGCGAAAGTACGCCCAGCGTAAGCTGGGGTACGCCCAACATAGAGGAGTAAAATGGACGCGGGTGGTTTGTGAGTACGTCGGGCGTACATAGAGGTACGCAAGGCGTACTCCATTCAGACTTAAACCCTAAATTTTAGGGTGTGCCACTATAAAAGGAATAATATGCCTCAATGGTCAGCCTCCATTTCACCCTTAGACAGCCACCACGAAACCCTACTCCTTCTTTGAGTGTTCTTGGAGCTTAGGAGGCCATTAGAGAGCATTTTGGTGTTGTGAAGCCATTTTCCAAGCAAGTGAAGAGCAAAGCAAGGTGGTGGTTCAAAGGAGAAGCTGTAGATCCGAGATTGTTGCTTCATTTGAGATCATCTTGAGGTATAAAGCCTTGAACTTTCCTCAAGTATGCTTAGATCTAGTGTAGTGATGTTTTGGACCTTTTTGGTCCCAAGAATGGAGCTTTATGGTTCAAATCTGATTCCTAGGCTTAGAGTTGCCACTCTCGGTGCCAAATGAGTCCCTAAGGCAGAAAGATGCCATCTTGAATGTCTTAATGGTTTCATGCATGAGTTAAGATCACTTTCATGGAAATAGAATACCATTTTTGGAGTTTGGGATTAGTTGGGTCATGTAAAGTCACCAAGTCAATGACTTTATGTATTAAGATGTTGAAGAGGACTTGGATCTGTGATTATAGCCTTTAGAATAGAGTATTAAGTGCTTAAAGGGAAAAGTGACTTAACAGAGACGTACGCTGGGAATAAATGCATGTACGCGCAACGTACTAGCCATGCAACCTGTACGCCTAGTGTACAGAGGAGTACCCCCCGCGTACTCAACAGAAGTGGGCTTTGCGTGCTTTGGGCCTCAGATTGGGCCATACATTGGACTTTAGTTCTTTGGGCCTTCGTGAGCCATCAGAAGTCAAATAATTTGGGCCAAGAATATGTTTGGGCTTAGGGTAAGGCCCATTAGAGGGATTGTGCTCAATTTATAAAATTGGGCCATTAGTGGGCCACTAGTGGGCTTGGAAAGTCTACCTAGTATTGGGCCTTTCATATTATGGTTTTGGGCCTTAGTTTTGGACCAATTTAGATAAGGGGTAAAATGGTCATTTTACCCTAAGGAGGATTGTTGGTTTGGACTAATTATTATTTTGGTAATGGTAGCTTGGGGGTCGAGAGATCAGCAGTTCGGGGATCTGCCAGCTAGCAGCGAGAGGTTTATTCGTAGGATTCTACAGTCAGCTTGTGAGGTGAGTTTTCTCCTGTAGGAACGGGTCTAAGGCACCAATGCCAGCCCGTTTATGTATGTTAGTGTATATCAGATTTAGATCTGATGTCGGGGTTAGCCCGATGTAGTTTATATGCTTTCGGATTACGGTCTGATGTCGGGCGAGGGCCCGTATCTCATCACTAGTTGTCTTTGTGATACTTGTAAGTGCCTGGTATGGAGGTGAGTGTGGGCGGGGGCCCGTATCTCATCACTAGTTGAGTATGGACGGGGTTCCATATCTCATTATTAGCATAGTAGGGGCGGGGCCTTGAGAGTAGCAGTTATAGTGTTGTGTTTGTCTGTTATGTACTGGCCTGATTACGATTATATGTTTGTATGTGTATAGCGGGCGGGGCCTAGAGACAGGTGGGACCTGGTAGAAACAGATATGTATACCGAGCGGGGCTCGATGTCGGGCGGGGCCCGAGGTAGCGGGCTAGGCCCAATGTATGTGGTTATGCGATTATGTGTATGGTATGTGGTAGTTTGGGGAGACTCACTAAGCTTCATGCTTACGGTTTTTAGTTTTGGTTTCAGGTACTTCTAGTAGCAGAGGGAAGAGCTCGGGATGACTGCATTGCACACACCATGATGATTTATCCTAGGATGATTACTCTAATGTTTTGATATGATACTCTAATGACCTTTTGAAATACTTGATTTATATTTTGATGAAATGATTGATAACTATGGTTTATTAAATGGTTAAAAACGAAATTTTTGGTCTAGAATTTTGGGATGTTTCAAGTTGGTATCAGAGCCTTGGTTTGAGGGATTCGGGTACACTCTTGGGTGTGTCTGAACTCAAACTGAGGACTTGGTATAAAATTTTTCAAAAGAAAATCATTTTTATAAAAAGAACTTTGAGAAAAAGAAAAGAATTTGGAAAAGAGAAAAAGAACTTTGAAAAAGAGAAAAAGGTGTGGTGCATGCAATCAGCCGAGCTCAAGTAAGTACTCCCAAATTACCCATACAAGTTTATGTTATGAGAACTGCATGCTAGAGTAGGACTAAGGATATAGGAAGGATGCCTTATGTTCCTGTTATATGTGTATGAGCTTTATGAACTGCATGCAAGTACATATATGTGTATGAGCTTTATGAACTGCATGCTAGTACAGATTAGTCAGTGATATGATGGC